CTCCCTATTGATGTATTCTTCCCATATACAAACAGGAAGTCTAAAGAAAAAAAATCAGTAAAATAACAGAAACAAAGCCAGAATGAAAGCATTATTAAAAAACAGAACAAAACTAAAAAAAAAACCAAAATTGAGCAAAACAGACAAAAAAATAAAAGCAAGGACCCAAACTTACTTTGAAGTCACTCCTGTAAGTCCAACATCCTTTCAGTTCTGATCTCTAACTCTTAGGGCAGGCTGATAGGGTTGCTCACAGTTTGAGTCAGATGTCCCAGGCATATTGTAGAAGGAGGGTGGATCAGATCTGGACTCACCCAGCTTGTCGCCTGTCAAGTGTGCCACTCAGATCTTACCTGTCTGTGTCTGATCCAGCATGGAGGAGGGGCTTCTATCTCTCCCAGTTTGATGAGATTACCTTAGGTCCCAAGTTGGGGGCTGGGCAGGGCTGGGCGGAGCTGTAGGGGCAATGCAGGTCTCTATCTGGTCCTGGGACAAAGAAAATGGCTGTGGCCAGTGTTTCTTCACTAGGCATGGGGATCCTCTCTGGCTCTCCCCAATCTTTTCTCTCATCAACAGTGCAGAAATGTTCCCTTTTCACTGCATTCTCTCCAGCATCTGTTGTTTTTTGAGTTATTGATGATGGCCATCCTGACTAGAGTTAGGTGGTATCTCAGTGTGGTTTTAATTTGCATTCCTCTGATGACTAGTGAGGCTGAGCATTTTTTCATGTATCTGTTGGCTGCTCATATGTCTTCTTTTGAGATGTATCTATTCATATCTTTTGCTCACTTTGTAATGGGGCTGTATGTTTTTTCCTTTTCTGCATATTTGAGTTCCTTGTAGATCTTAAGTGTTAGGCCGTTGTCAGACATATAGTTGGCAAATACTTTTTCCCAGTCTGTGGGCTATCTCCCTGCTCTCTGAGGGGTTTCTTTGGTTTTGCAGAATTTTGTCAGTTTGATGATGTCCTACTTGTCTATCTTATCTCTTATGGTTTGGGCAATTGGGGTTTTGATCAGGAATTGGTTGCCAGTTCCAATTCCAAATTCCATAAGGGTGTCGCCTGCATTTTCTAATGTTCTTATAGTTTGAGGTTTGACATTTAGGTCTTTGATCCATTTAGAGTTGATTTTGTGTACAGTGATAGGTAGGGGTCCTTTTTAAATCTTCTGCATGTGGTCAGCACTATTTACTGAATAGGTTCTCCTCTCCCCAGTGGTTGGTGGTAGAGGATTTGTTGAAGATGAGTTGGTTGAGAAATTGAAGTTTTGCTTCCGATATCTCTATATGCCTGTTCTTGTACCAATACCAGACTGTTTTGACTAATGTAGCTTTATAATAAAGTTTAAAGTCTGGGAGTGTGATACTACTTGCTATGTTTTTTGTTTGTTTGTTTGTTTGTTTCCTGAGGATTGTTTTGGCTATTTGTGGTCATTTATGTTTCCATATGAATTCCTGTATTGTCATTTCCAGGTCTGAGAAGAATGCTGCTGGTAATTTAATGGGTATTGCGTCAAATCTGTAGATTGTCTTGGGTAGAATGGACATCTTAACAATGTTGATTCTTCTAATCCATGAGCATGAAATATTTTTCCATATGTTTGCATCATCTTTGATTTCTTTGAGCAGTGTTTTGTAGTTATCGTTGTAAAAGTCTTTCACATATCTGGTTAGGAAGCTGCCAAGGCATTTTCTTTCTTTCTTTTTTTTGGCTATTGTGATTGGAATTGTGCTTTTTATTTGGATTTCTGTTTGCTTATTATTGGTGTATAGAAATGCGACTGTCTTTTGTACATTTATTTTATACTCTGAGACTTTTCCAAAGTCCTTTATCAGCACAAGGAAGTTTTTTACAGATTCTCTTGGGCTTTCAAGGTATAGAATCATGTCATCTGCAAGAGGAATAACTTGACTTCCTCTTTTCCTATTTGGATACCCTGATCTCCTTCTCTTGCCTGATTCCTCTAGCTAGGACTTCCAAAACTATGTTGAAAAGGAGAGGTAAGAGAGGGTATTCTTGTCTTATTCTGATTTTCAGGGGAAATGGTTCCAATTTCTGTCTGTTTAGTAGTATACTGGCTGTGGGTTTCTCATAGATGCCTCTAACTACTTTGAGGTATGTTTCATCTATGCCTAGATGTTCAAAGGTTTTTATCAAGAAGCGGTGCTGGATTTTATCAAAAGTTTTTTCTGCATCTAATGATATAATCATGTATTTTTTTACATCTGTTGATATGTTTAATTACATATATGGGCTTATAAATGTTGAACCAGTCCTGCATCCCTGGGATGAAGCCTACCTGATCATGGTGGATGATTTTTGAGTTGTATTGTTGGATCCGGCTTGCTGGACTTTTGCTGAGAATTTTAGCATCTATGTTCATCAAGGATATTGGCCTTAGTTCTCTTTCTTAGTTTGATCTCTACATGGTTGGGGTATCAATGTGATGTTAGCTTTATAAAATGATTTGGGGAGAGTTCCATCTTTCTCAATCACCTGGAATACTTTCAATAGGATTGGTATAAGTTCCTCCTTGTATATTTTGTAGAATTCTTCTGGAAAGCCATCTGGTCCAGGGATTTTCTTTTTTTTTTTTTTGGAGGTAGTTCAGTTCTCTTATGACATAGTCAATTTCCTGGAGTGTTATTGGTCTGATACTAAATTCTTCTGACCCATAATCATGGAACATCTTTCCATTTGTTTGTGTCCTCTTCAGTCTCTTCCATTAATGTTTTGTAGTTTTCCCTGTAGGCATAGAATTACCTTTTTAAAATTTCTTTCTCAGTTATTTCACTGTGTATAGAAATACAGCAGGAGACCATCATTATAATTGAAGTAATTCAGAAACAGAAAACCAAACACCAAACATTCTCATTTATATGTGGGAGCTAAATCATCACAAAGATGAAAATATTGGCACTGGGGAAACTATAAGGGGCGGGGTAGGGAGAAGAGTTAGATCTCAGAAGTTACCTACTGGGTACTGTGTTCACTATCTGGGGAGTGGGTCATCTGAAGCCCAATCCTCACCAATATGCAATATGCCTATGTAACAAATATGTACCTGTTACCCCTAAATCGAAAATAAAATAAAAACATTTTTAAAAGAAATGCTACAGATTTTTTATGTGTTGATTTTATATCTTGCAACTTTGCTGAATTTATTTATGAGATCTAAAAATGTCTGGCACAGTCTTTAGGTTTTTCTAGATATAAGATTCTATGATCTTTTAAAAGGGAAAATCTGATTTCTTCTTTTCCAATTTGGATGCCTTTTATTTCTTTCTCTTGCCTTATTCTGTCTATGACTTCTGTTACTATGTTTAATAGAAGTGATGAAATTAAGCATCCTTGTCTTGTTCCAGTTCTTAGAGTAAAAACTTTTGATGTTTCCCCATTCAGTAAAATGTTAGCTATGGTTTTGTAAGTCTTTATTATGCTGAGGTACATTCTTCTATGCCTAGCTTGTGGAAACTTTTTATATTAAAGAGATGCTGAATTTTATCAAATCCATTTTCTGCATCTATTGAGATAATTGTATGGTTTAATCTTCCATTCAGTTGATGTGATGTATTATGTTTATTGATTTGCCTATGTTGAACTATTCTTGCATCTCTGCGGTAAATCTCACTTGATTGTGGTGTATTATCTTTTTGATGTGCTCTTGAATTCAGTTTGCTAATATTTTCTTGAGGATTTGTGTGTCTTTATTCACCAGGGAAATTGACCTGTAATTTTCTTTTTTTGTTATGTTCTTGTCTGGTTTTGGTGTCAGAGTAATGCTGGCCTCATAGATAGAATTAGGAGGGAATTCTTTCTTTTCTTTTTTTACTTGTTTGAGGAGAATTGGCATTAGTTCTCTTTTGAAGATTTGGTACAATTTGGCAGTGAAGCCATCTGGTCCTAGGCTTTTCTTTATTGGGAGACTTTGTATTACTAATTCAATCTCATTATGTGTTATTGGTCTGTTCAAGTTTTTTTTTTTGGAAGACCTCTTTTGATAAAAAATAATTCACATTATACAACTGGATTTGGTATCTTGTCAGAAGGTTTATTTTCTAGTTTATTTCAGAAAGACTAATGGCAAATCACTAATTCCTCCATAAAAAATAGTATTTAAAATAATTTTTGGCCGGGTTCGAGGCTCAGCCTGTAACCCCGCATTTTGGGAGGTCGAGGCAAGTGAATTGCCTGAGCCTGCGGGTTCAAGACCCACCTGAGAAATTTGGCGAGATCTTGTCTCTACAATAAATCAAAAATTAGTGGAGCATGGTAGCATGCACCTGTAGTTCTGGCTACTTGGAAGGCTGAGGCAGAAGGATCAACGGAGCCCAGCAGGTTGAGGCTGTGGTGGCCAGGAGCATGCCACTACACTCCAGCCTGGGCAACAGAGTGAGACTCCAACTCAAAAAAAAAAAAAAGAAAAAAAGAAAAAAAATTTTAAAACTATTCAGAATTACTTTGGGGCCTTTCATAAGTATAAATTCATAATAGCAAATTATAAGCATTCATTAACATTTCTTGAATGAATAAACCACAAATCTCTCCTAAAATATAGCAAGAATAAAAATTATGGTATTTCTGAACAATTTTTAATTTATCAAATAATAATTCTACTCTGATTTTCATACATTTATAACACTCTTGCTTTGCCAGTCGTTTTTAAATGGCCAAGTATAATGGTCATGCCTGTAATACCCCAGCTCTTTGGAGGCTGAGGCAAGAGGATTGCTTGAGCCCAGGAGTTCAAGACCAGCCTAGGCAACATAGCAAGACTCCATCTCTATAAAAATAAAAAATAAAAAATTTAAAAATTAAAATTACAACTAAAATAAATAGTAATTTTATTGTAGTTCACTTCCATTACGAATAGAGTTTCTTCTTTCTTTTAAGGAAAGCAAGTTTTTAAATTATTTATAGTCTCTCATAATCTTGAATAAATTAAATACTTAACTGCTTAGTAAAGCAAGACTGACTCTGCCTTTTATTTATTTTCCAGATCAAAAATCTTACTTTTACAGAAGTAGCTTTCAACTCCTAAATGTTGAATATAATAATCAATTAAATTCTCCAGCTACCCAGGAATACAGGACTTTGAGTGGAAGAATTGAATCTCTGGTAAGTCTTTGCCTTTATTCCATTATAAAATGGATATGACAATAAACTTAATATTTTGTCATATATTTTTAATTGCTACATGCTCTACACATTTTTCCTTCCTTAAGTGCTGAATGCTGAATTTCACTGTACTTTCCCCAAGTTAGTTCACTAGTATACTGGTTCTTATTCACATCTTCTTAAGTCATGAATAAAAAGTGTTAGAAGGACTATGAGTAAATATGCATTTTATTTAATGATGACTTCAAAGACCAGAAGTCCACTGTTTGTATAATTAAGCATTGCAATTGTCTTTTAAAGTTTTTTCATTTTGCATTTTTCCTTCTTTTCTTATCCAACTAACCACGCAAGTCAGTCGATGTTAAAAGATATTTTTACCATTTCAGTAATAACATAGCTTAAACAAAATCGCACTTTGGTCATAATTTTATTTTTGACTCATCTGGAAGTTTTGTTATTGAGGTAGAAATCCAGTTTTTACTCCCTCCCACCCAAATAGCTAGATGGAGGTCCCCAAACAGTGCATTAAATAACACAATTGATTTATTTGTCATGTCACCTTTATCATACACTAAATTTCTCATTTTCTTTTGTATGTACTCTACTCTCTTTCACTGATTAATCTTTGACTACACCATACCACAATATTTAGAGTACTGTGACTCAATAATATACTTAATATTTCGAGATTTCCCTTGAAATTCTTCTGATGTATAATTTCCCTATTTAATCTTACATATGTATCCTTTGATAAAAAGCACTTTGAACATTAAAAATGATAAGTGAATAATACTCTAATATAGTACTTTATAGTTTACAAAGCCCTTTCACATATATTAAGTAACCTTCATTTCACAACCATATGAATTAATAAATCATTTGTATAGATGAGAAAGTAAAGCTTGTGAAATTAAAAAACATGTCAAAGGCCATTTCACTGGAAAGTGGTAGAACCAGAATTCAAACCAAGTTCTCCTGAGTCCAAATACAAGGGCCAAACCTGCAATATGAAGATAATTCTAGTATGTAATCATGGTAATGAAAAAGTAAGATAGTAAGATGAGCAGTAAGGTAATATCAGAACTGACACCTCTCCTGCTCTATGAAAGCCATATTGCCAGGTAAAGCAATACTAGTCAGTGGCATGTGAGAAATTAATCATTTTTGAAATAACATGCTATGGAGAGAAGACTTTGAAATATGTGTTCAGTAATGTGTCCACCATTAGATGATTACGTTTTCTTTTGTTCTGTTTTACTGAAAATAATGTAAAGTATGTTGTCTATAAGGGTGATCAGACATGCACAAATTTTTTAAAAAGTGAGGGAAATAATTAACCATCATGTTTGGTAGATTTTGAACACATTTCCTTAAAGATATATAAAATGCAACACCTTTCATTTGGTTTGCAAGGATAACCAATTGCCATCAGGGAAAATGGAAAGTCATTTGTGTAACAGTGGATGGAGGCTTAACATGACTGATTTCATTTTACCCCTGCCCTCCCTCAACACAGCAATAGCCTTTAGCTGTAGACCAGTTAATTATGGGAGAAAATTCAGAAAAAAAAAAATGATAGCAGTCCCTTTTCAAAACTAACCCCCAAGGAGATAAGGAGAGGGTACACACAAGTAACAAAGCTATATGAAAGATTTATAAGAACATTCTGAACTGACCAAAACAGTTTCCCAACCTCCTCGGACCCTCACCGGTACCCAGAGGTCTGCAGTCATCAGTTACCTCTCTCGATCTCAACCTTCTCCTCTTCCCTCTTCTGTTAACATAAAATTTATACTAACTTTAGATGGTTCTTGAGAACACTAGTCTGCCGCCTTCTCAATTTGCCAGTTCTCCAAATAGTCACCTTCCTTGCTCCAACACCTTATCTCTTGACTTACCGGCTGTTGTGTGGTATGAGCCAGTAAATCCACAAAATATTTGCATTATGAGCGAGACTGACAATTCAGTTTCATAATTTATCAACTTCAGACAATGATGAATTTATTCATGTGGGGCCACATAATTTTGTGGAAACCTTGTTGGTGCTTAAAACCAGGTACTGAAATTAGAATTAGACTTTTGAATCATTTTATCACAGTGTTTCAAAATTATAAATTCTATTCAGTCATATTATAACACTGAAAATATTATTTTAAAATGGAATAAAATACCTAATTCAGCCTTTTTCATTTTTATTTTTGTAAATGTTTTATAATGTACATCGTTAGTAGTACAGTATTATTATGTATATAGAATTTTTTTTTTTTTTTGAGTTGGAGTCTCACTCTGTCACCCAGACTGGAGTGCAGTAACCACTCCTGATCACCGCAGCCTCGACCTGCTGGGCTCCGGCGATCCTTCTGCCTCAGCCTTCCAAGTAGCGAGAATTACAGGCATGCGCTACCACCGCCCGGCTGATTTTTTTATTTATTGTAGAGATGAGGTCTCGCTGCCCAGGCGGCTCTCGAACCTGGGGGCTCAGGCAATCCACTCACTTCAGCCTCCCAAAGGCGCGGGATTACAGGCTGAGCCACTGAGCCCAGCTATGTATATATAATTTATAAGTAAATATACCTGTTTTGGCCACTTGTGCATAAAATGTTTCCTCCATAAGAGTATGTAATCAAAAATATTTTAAGACCATTGTAATAATAGGTAGATATCTATCTAAGATATTATCACATAAGTTCTTTTATCTTTTCCTTGAAAGCTGCACTTTTCAGATTTTCTGGTTTGAGTAAACAGAAGAGAATGTTGTAACTAGAAAGTAATTAAAATCACAATTATTCCTATTATTTCGCTTATGAATAATATGAACAAAACTATAGCTATCAAGTAATAAAGCACTGGAGAAGGTGATTTATCTGACACATTCATAGACAACTAATAAGATCTTTCTCCTCTAGAGATAAAAAATATGTGACAGTTAGAGACATTCTATATGTAATGTTTTAACATTTGTGCCACCTGTTCTACTAACAGATTTAATGATGTTCACATTGTTAGAATTTACTTAAACAATCTATAACTCATTTCAGTTCATATTGATTATGAATATTATGGAGATTGAGGATTCTAGACTACTAGAACACTAAAATAGTACTGTCATCCTCAATCAGGAGGAAAATATTAAATTGTGCTCTTTTTATTGTTTATTTGGTTTTAAGCCAATGTAATAAAAATGTCTACAGTACAGAATACAAAATAAAATGGGTGTGAAAAAGTCATTAACTGGTTAATAATTTTGGAGTAAGGAGAAAGACCAAAAGGTTGAATGATAAACTCATGAAAAGTAGATGCATAGTCTCTCTGAGTTGTAGTTGTAAACTGTGTACAGATAAATTATTTTAGTAGTTCATTAAAGTTTTCAAAGCAAGCTGAACTAAACTATCTCCATTCTCCATCTACTGCCCGTTATACTATCTTACTGATATACTCTTCAAGCATCTGCTCACTGATTTTCTACCAAGCATTTGATAAGTTCTAATGAAAAAGTTCATAGAAACATTTTTGACACACTGAGAAATATGAAATCATAAGATAAGAAGATGAGCCTCTTCTTTTATACTTGTACATGCATATCAACTAATTAATCAACTTGTTTTCTTTATGTTGCTCATTATCTTAGTCCTCACAAAATTTCTTCTTAATGTTTTCCACATAACAGAAAAGTTAAAATTAAAATGAATCTTTAACACATTGGTCCAGTTTAGCCTGTGCCAAATTGTGAGGTACAATTTAATTACAAGAAACACTTATCCAAATTTTAGCAATTCCTTCTGCTTTTTATCAACTTCTTTTACTTCTGTTAAAGTCAAATACAATTAAGTTAAATTCCTTTTTAAAAATACCTCCTCTAATATACCACATTAATAAATATATTAAAACTCATCCTTTTAAGTAGATAACTGTAATATAGTTCACCAAATGACAGCAATGGTCAATTCTAGATCATAGAATTTAGAGCAACTTTTTGCTTTCTTCTTAATACTTACTAGTATTTCCATTTTTAAAAAAGAAACAAATTATTTTAATAAAAACCAACAGACTCATTGTTTTTGAAATTGTTCAAGTCTTCCCGCTCTGGAAAAAAAGAAAAATATCGTTTTGTCACACAAGTTGGTCTTATATCAACTAGCCTATACAAATGGATATTGAAAAAGTGAGATACTACAATAGAGATTGCATAAACATCCCCGTCTCAAGAAGAACTGGCTTTAGATCCTGACATAATGTAAAGTTCAGCATACTGCTTAATTCCTCCATCTTCATCTTTTCCTATCCACAACTACCTGGGTCCCACCTCACAGTATAAACCAACATAATCCTCTCTCCGTAGGAAGCCACAGTACATCCAAGCCAGCATCTCAAAACCGTGTCAGTCACAAAAGTCCTTCTAGTTGACTGTAAGGTTAAACTTCACATCTCAAGAGAACCATCCTTGCTGGGGCTAAGCAATGATTCAAGGAAATAGTTATGGTTAGGTCAGGAAATTCCCAAATGATCTGGCCTTGGTGGTGCACACTGGTAGACACAGCTACTCAAGAGGCTGAGGTTGGAGGATCACCTCTGAGGAGAGCCTGGAAACTCCATCTCTTAAAAACAAATTATTTTAATTAAAAAAAAAAAGAAATGACCAACTGATGCCAAAAAGTAACCTCTGATGCTTCAGCATTAATCAGAAATGAAAAAAAAACCTACCCTTTTCTTCTTTTTCAGCTTTTCTTCAAGCTTTCTGTTGCTACTTATTTTAATCCAGTTTCATTCATTTAAAAAAACAGTTTTGGGGATCACACTTTGTGAATTATATCAGTGGACTTCCCAAGAGTTGGCCCAATTCCTGCTCCAATCCCTTAGTAATAGCCACAAAGTCACATAGCATAAATTCTCACTGAGCATAGCATCTGATCTGTCTAGAATGTTTTCTAATGAAGATGCCTCCTGTCCAGTATCATTGCTGTGTAATAGATAAAGAAATAGGCACTACATCAAAAGATTGCAGAAGTTGCCTAATCAATCCCACTGAGCTGAACTCAGTTCTTTAATCCTCATTAACGTAAGTCCCATACTGCAAGGTTGAGAGGAAAGAGAAGAAAAACTGTAACTATAGACAGATTTTTCTTTTTTTCGTTCTTAATAGATCACTAGAACATTTCAAGAATCAAATTTAAGAAATCAGTTTGTCAGAGCTCATGTTGTCAAACTGAGGTGAGTGGAACTATATCAAAAAATATATAAATATATATAAATGCAATTTGGTACGTTTGACCTTTTCGCAGAATGGGTAATGAATGACATAATCACACAATTTGTTGCAATATTGTGAAAATCGTATCCTAAGCAGCTTTAAAAACAATGCCAACAAAACTAAAGTCACGTGTGATCCATTTAGCTACTAATGTAAATAGCCATAGTACTTGAGTTCTTACTGGGAGAAGGAGGAAAGGATGAAGAAAGGGTTGGAATAAAGGAACAGAAACAGGACCATGCCATTCTATGAAATCCAGTGGACGTCATTCCCATCCAGTTTGTGTAAACATCTCCTCTGGGAGTTGTACAATTCTGTGGTTCAGGTGTATTCATCTAAGATCAGGACACCATAACCAACATCAGAAGTGGTTTTTTGTTTTTTTCTGCCTGGAACGCATAAAAGGGTGTTGTGGCCAAATCCAAGACGTGTCTGTCATGGATTAATAATAGGAAAAGCAGCAGCATGCGTGCCAGTTATTTGCCCTTCTTGTCTTAGTTAAATAGGCACCTATCCATGTGATGTGATGAATAGGTTCTTCCAACTGAAGTAGTCACCTTTCCTGACCCTCCCGCAAATGCTCTGTCCTTCAAATATGCAAAAATTCTTTGGTAGAGCGAAGTATACTCATTCTTTCTCAAATACTAGCATCACAAGAAAAATCATTCTTATTCTCTGAAGTGTCGCCCAGTAAGTACCCAAGGCACAGAACTCTGGTCAGGTAAGTGTTGATGAGGAGTTAGAGGAAGAAAGAGTCCATGAGAAGGGTATTTTCCAAAACACATTTCCGTCGATGTAGTGCACATTCACTTAGTACTCTCTTGTGAGGATGTCTGTACTAGCCACTAATGCTTAAAGGCAAATAATAAGCCCTGAAAACTTGTAGGACTAAATGAGTCATCCACATTTTTCTCTCCTTTAGTTCACTTTCCACTTACCCCTCAACCTTGGGCTCCAACCCCACCACAAAATATAAATTTCTCTTGCCAAGTTCAGCAATGACATAAATATCACAAAATCCAAAAAACCACATCAGTCCTCTTCTCGGAGTATTTGGCACTGTTGACCTACCACTCCTTAAAATAGGACTGTCCCTTGGCTTCTTTTATCCCGCACACTCCTGATTTTCATCTTACCTCTCCAGCTACTCCTGCTCAGTTTCCTTTGCTAACTCAGTCCATCTCCATACATGCCTTAAATGTGGCTCAATGCCAGGTTTTACTGTAAGTCTCTCATCTTCTCAGTTCACATTCTCTCCTTTCTTTTTCTTTTTATTCCCC